TTAAGAGAGAACATGTGATCCTTGTCTTCCTGTGTCTGGCTTATTTCTGGCTTATGTCCTCTAGTTCTACCCACTTTGCTGCAAATGACAGGATTTCATTCTTTTCAATTGAATAATATTCCATTGTGTGTATATACTACATTTCCCTTATCTATTTATCATTGATGGTTATCACATCTTAGATACTGTGAATAGTGCCATAATTAACACATTAACATGGGAGTGCTTTCTTTGGTATATTGATTTCATTTCTAATGTATACTGACCCAAAAAGTGGGTTAGCTAGATCATATGGTAGATCTACTATTACTGTTCTGAGGAATGTCCATATTGTTTTGCATAAAGATTGTACTAATTTGCATTCCCATTGACAGTATATTAGAATTCTTTTTTCTCCACTTCCTCATTAGCCATTGTTATTTTTGTATTTTTGATAATATTCATTCTAACTGGATTCAAGTGATAGCCTAGGGTGATTCTGAATAGCATTTTCTTGACAGCTAATGATACTGAACATTTTCATATATTTTTGACCATTTGTGTAGATTATTTTAAGAAATTTTGTTTTTATCTTAAGAGCAACTGAAAACATTAGGGATTTTTAAGTCAAGGTAGTCATATGATTAAATTAGAATTTTTAGATAACTAGAACTAGTGATTGGTAGAAAAAAATTATAAGGAAAACCGAAGATGAGGATAATGTTTAAGATACTGGGCAGTATTCTACATGTGAATAAAGGATGGAGCAGTAGAAATGGCAATAAGTGGGTGAATAATTTTAGAATTAGCAAAGCATAACAGAAAATCGGACTGAAAAGAAAATAACAAAAAAAGAGAAAAAAGAAAGAAGGAGAAAGGATAGGAAGAGAATAAAAGAACACAATAAGAGATCAGAAGAGTCAAGGGTGACTTTTTAAACCTGGGCTGCCTAGAGAATAAGAATGCCATATAAGTTCATAATCATAGGAAAACTTGACCTTATAGTACATTTTCCCCTTGGATCTTTCACCTTGCAGTCATGAGAGTTTTCAGTTTACAAAACATTATTTCATTGAGCTTCACAGTAATATTGGCAATGCTCATCATTAATTATATTTATTGAGAAAACAGCTTATGAAATGCCTAGAGGTGAGATTAAAATGCAATATATTGAAAGCAGCAAAAGAAGGCTATTGTAGCTAGAGCACAGAAAGAAGACTGGAATATAAAAGACTAGAGTGAAGGAAATAAAACAAGGGTGGAGTGACTGGCATATTTTCACTGGATAAAACTGCATGAGTAAGGCCAGAAAAAGAGGATCAGGTAGATTCTTTCAGGAGATATTAAGAATTTTGCCTTTCAATCCTAATATGAGAAGCCACAAGATAATCTTAAGCAATGGTGACATGAGCAAATTTATGTTTTAAAATATCATTCCAGTGGAAATGTAGAGATTGAAAAGGAAAGAGGGACAAGAATAAGTAAAGGTGGAGTAGTCAAAGGCTATTTTAGTGGTTCAAGTGATCAGGGTAGTGGTGGAACAAACTGTGAAAAACCAATAGGTTCAAGGTGGATATTTTAAAAATTCTATTCAACACTGTATTAAAGATCCTTGCTTGTAAGAAGATACAATTTTAAAAACACACAGATTGGAGAGAAACAAAATTTTCTTTATTTATAGATGACATAATCACCTATGTAAAAATCCCAAAGAATGTACCAAACAAAACTTAATGGAATGGATATAAGTGAATTTAGTAAGTTTATAGGGTACTAGGTTATTGCTTTAAAACATATATTTTCATATACTAAAAGAAACATTGGACGTAAAATTTTTAAAAATGTCATTTATAATAGCATCAAGAAACATATAATTTATAGAGCCAAATCTAAGAATGGCAAAAGTCCTGTGTAATAAAAAGTATAAAATGCATTGGGAGAAATTAAAGAATTAAATGAATGGAGAGGTCTACTATATTTGTCAGCAGAAGTCCCAATGTACTTAAAATGTCAATTTTTCCCGTATTGATTTATACATTCAGAGCAACCAGTAACAATTCCAATTTTTTTTTTGTGTGTGTGTGGTAGAAAAAGATGAGCTGATTCTAAAATTTACATGGAAATGGAATAAATCACAATAATGAGAACAGGTTTATCAAAAAAGAGCAGATTTGGGGGTTTTTTGTTACCTGATTTCAAGACTTAGTATAAGCTATCAAGATAGTATGGTATTTACATAAGTGTAATACATGGGTCAATGAAACAACAGACAGATATCAGTATACATGTACAGTCAACTGATGTTTTTACAAAAGTACAAAAATAATTAATTGGAAAAAAGGGCACATTTCCCCCCAACAAATAATGCTAAAACAATTGGGCATCCACATTAAAAAAACACACACACACACACACAAACAAAAGAATAACAAGTTCATGCCATATTATTAAAAAGAATGCAAAATAGATCTTAAAAATATAGAAATTAAACCTACAAAATTTTTATATAACATATAGTAGGAGGTCTTTGTGTTCGTGGGTGAGGCTAGAATGTTTTGGAAAGGATATACACAAAGAAATAATTTAAAAATATGTTGTAATAAACTTTACTGAAATGTAAAACTTTTGCTCTCTGAAATTCATTGCTAAGTACTTGAAAAAGCAAGCCACTGACTATAGGAAAATCCCTGCAACCTACATAGCAGTTGAAGAACTTCTACCTAGAATCTAATAACTCATTTATAACTAAATAATTAGAAAATTTGAATGAACACTGTATATAAGTGATATGGATACCAAACAAACATATGAAAGAATTGTCAATGTTATTAGTTAAATAAAAATTCTCAGACTACTGGTGGAATCCATAATGGTATACACAACTTGGAAAAACTCTTATCTTAAAATCTAGCAATCCATCTCATGTATTTATCCATGAGAAATGAAAACCACCATGCAAAGACTGAATGATTTTAGTAATTTTAATTATAGTAGCCTCAAAGTGAGAATAACTCAAACAATCAGCTTGTGAATGTATAAATAGATCCAGGCACATGCAACATGAGATATTACATTTAAATGAAAAAGAATAAATTGCTGATAAGTGAATTAATATAATTAAATTTATAATACATTCTGGAAGAGGCTAATTGGTAGGGACAGAAATCAGATCGGCAGTTGCCAGGGGCTGAGGTGGGAGAAGTGGATAGCCTTCAACCAGGCACCTGGATCATTTTAGAATAATGGAAATTTCTCTATCTTGATTGTAATTGTACATATTTCTTAAAACACATTGAACTGTTCATCTAAAAAGATAAATTTTTCTGTGTATAAGTTATACTCCAATAAGCTTGATTTTTCCTTCCTTCCTTCCTTCCTTCCTTCCTTCCTTCCTTCCTTCCTTCCTTTACTTTCTTTCTTTCTTTTCTACCAGGAATTGAACTCAGGGGAACTCTACCACTGAGCCACATCCCCAGACCTATTTTGTATTTTATTTAGAGATAGGGTCTCACTGAGTTGCTTAGTGACTCCCTTTTGCTGAGGCTGGCTTTGAACTCACAATCCTCTTACCTCAACCTCCCGAAATACTGGGATAACAGGTGTGTGCCACTGCACCAGACAATAAGCTTGATTTTTAAAAAGACTATTGCAATAGTTTAATTAAGAGATGGTGGCTTGAGCTAGGAAGGTGGTGGCTATGATAAGTGGTAGTCATTTCCCAAGATATATTAGCAGGTAAAATCAACAGGTTCAGTTGCATGGACTGACACAAAGGGTATAGGGAATAAAGATGTAGCTATCTCTCTCTCATGAAAACATACCATAGTGTTCTAGAGTTAGAACTGATTTGTTATATATTCAACAGTCTTATCAGAATGCAAACTCTTAACACATAGAGAGCAGCACATCAGAACATTTTACAAATGGCAATGTCAGTTTAGTTCACAATAGAGTTATCATATCCACACTATAACAAGGGCTAATATCATCATTTAATATCATGAAAAGTATACAGGGAATGATTAGGACAACTACATCATCAAAGCACTCAAAAAACAATGTATAGAACATGTAATTCCTGAGAGGCACCCTGTTGGACACTAGGGAAAATACCTTGAAGAGAAAGTAAGTGGTGTGCTTTTGCTCTGTATACAACAGTACTAATAAATATGATGATCTTTGTTAGGATTTTAACTTGTTAAAAGGAATATTTAACTTCTTTGCCTTTTGACTTTATTCTACTGATATATTATTTTAGGGTGGTCATTAGAAGGTTACAGTATAATTCATTTAAGAATTTGTTTATGATTTAATTTGTCAATCTGCTTTTCAAACATGATAGGCACTAGGAATGCAAAGCCCTTAAAGAGTTTCTAGTATAGGGAGACAATATATGAAAGCATCACAGATAAAATTGAAAGATGGAGGCAAATAGAGTTTACCTTGAATATAAATTATGTATACATTTTACCTGTGGTTAAATTCCTCATCTCCACTTTCTATGTGTTAGCAGAGTATAAAGTATATCATCAATGAAATGAGGATTACTCAAAGTTTGATTTTGAGGATGTATCCGTATGTGTCATACAAAATTGTTAGGAAAAGCAGTTGAAGTCCCCATAGTTATTTTCATGTTGCTACTTTTCTACTGTGTGTGTGTGTGTGTGTAAACACATATATGGAATTTCTAAAATTTAATCTCAAAAAATAAATATAGTACTGTCAACATTATTTGCCCCACATGACCCTAGTTAGGTGCTAGTTTCATTAAAAACAAATAAATCAAAACCCTAAACTTCAATAAAATATTCCTACATTTCTTTGTGTCCGTGTCTAAAATTACCATTGTCATTAAGTTTTCTGGATGGGGCACCACCTTAAAGCAATTTAAGGTTGTTTACTTACTTCTTCTCCTTTCCATTCCACCACTGAGAATATGCATTTGGAAGAAAATGCTTTTTGAATCTGTAAAAATGCGCTGAAGTTTGGAAGGCATGGAAATTCAGCGTGGCCTGTCCTACCTGGCTTAAGGTGGGCGAAAGGAATCTCGCCGGTGAGGAGTTCCCACAGACACAGAGCGTAACTGAAGACGTCGGCTTTGATGGTGTAGCGCGTGCACTGCGTGAACACCTCTGGAGCCATCCAGCGGAGGTTCTGCGCATAGAGAAGGCATAGTCAGTTACCAAGGGCTTAGTTTCTCAGCTGACGAGCAGGGTCCTTTTTTGTGAGGGCTTCTTAAGTATTCTCCTGATATACAGGGCTTTTTTTTTTTTTTTTTTTTTGCCCAGTCACTAGAAGACCATAAAATTCATAATTTTTCCAAAAAGTCATCAATATAATTCATCAAGTAATAGGCTCATAAAATGATTATCACAGCATCCACACATTTTTTTTTTCTACTTACAACCTGTGATCATCTCTCTCCTGGATGAAAGCTTCAGAATATTTAACCATAGGGCTTCCGAAGGCACCTTCCCTAATCAGGCCTTTAGGTTGTAATTTAGGAAGTCTATAAATTAGGCCCACACATAGTCTCCGTGGTTAAGGAGAGAAACGGCCAGAGTTGTGCCAGAATATTGTACTTGAAGTAGATTTCCAACTAGCAGGATCAAGTCTATCATATTTCCTTTGTTTGACTAGATGTGTTATTTCTGAATTCCAGTTGAGGAATATTTGAGAAAACAAGTCCATAAAATGTTACAATTTTCTTTGTAAGAAGTTGTAGCCTCATCTGTTTTAATGGTGTTGTTTACATTCCTTTTATTTGCGATTATAGTTTAAAAAATATGTTTCCATTCTGGGTAGCAAATGCATAAATTCGGTTTATTTGTCACTTAAGGGATGCAACTCTAGATTTTGAATTAGGAGATGAAAATTCTAGTTTTTGTTTGAGCACTGACAAGGCAGCTGTGGACAAATCCCTCATTTTTTCTGGACCTTAGATTCCTCAAGGAAAAAAAAAAAAAAGATAAGTCAGACCCTTGCTCTTCCAGCCATTAAATCTTAAGACTCCCTAATATATCAATATGAATTTTGCCAAACACCTTTGTATTTCCACTGAAGAAAGCTGGTGTTATTTTATTATTCTTACTGAAATTCTATGTGCAGTACTGGCCGCTGATAATTCTTTTGAAATGTCTACCTTATTTGGAAATCATGCATAATTATAGCTTTCCAAGAATATCTTTGTTCTGATTATGTTGCTCACATGCAATTCTCCCACATGAGCTTTCACATTCCAAATAGCCTCCATTTATATAGTAGATTATACATTGTGTCACAACATTGCATAAGTGGGAGTAGGCATATAGCATGCCTGTTTTTGCATAGGGGGATCATAGAATAATTAAGAAACTTAAATAAGGCCACATAACTAGTAAGAAATAAAACAGCCTCTAAAATAAATGCAGAGTGATGCTATGCTTAAAGACTGTGCTGCCAGGATAAAAAAAATTAATATTTCTTGCTGTTGGTGAAATTCAATTTAATTCTATTCAACAAAAGTTTATTCATTCAGAAAGTCTCTACTGGCTGCATTGTAGAATCATTTGGAGGAACTCTAAAAAAATACAAATACCCAAGATAAATACCATTAAATAAAATATGACTAATCATAATTTCTATGGGTTAGATTCAGGCATTATGTTCTTCAAAAAGCTTCTAAACTGATGGGCAGCCACAGTCGAGACCCTTGGATGTAGCTGCCTCTATGCCTCAGGTACTAGTTAAGTTTGTCTTGTGAAAGAGGACTCACTTTTCCCACCTTCCTTACTTCATACTCTACTACATTCCTCCATGCTTACCCCACTCCAACCACTCTAGCTTTGAATACACCAAGAACTCTCCTGTTTCAGAACCTTTGCACCTGCTTTTCTTTTCCCTATCAGCAATGTTCTTTCTCCCAAGGGAGACCTCTTTATCAGGACTCATAAAATGTTATATTTCTCTCCGCCTATTTAAATGGCATCTCCATTACTTTCCATTCATTTACTCTGCTGTTATTTGTTTCTTCATGGTACTTATTATCACCTAATATATATTTTGTTAATTTGTTCATTGTTTCTCTTCCCACAGTGGAATATTAGCTCCATAGGAAAAAGAAACAATCACTATAATGTCCCCAGTTCCTAGGAGAATATAGTAGATGCTCCCAAGATATTTGTTGAATGAATGAGTTAATCTAATTCGATGTGTGGTTTGAATGTGTCTCTCAAGGGTTCATTTGTTAGAACCTTGGTCCTTAAGAATGATGATGTGGAAGGTAGTGGAACCTTTATGAGGTGAAGCTTGATGCAAATAATGAGGTCATTTTGGACTGCTACCTACCTGATTGAAAAAAGCTTATTGTAGTTCTCATGAGACCCTGATTAGTTCTCATGAGAACTGTTGTTATTAAAAAAAACCCCACAAACACAAACAAACACCTGACCTCCCCACTTTCTGGCTCCCTGTTAGGGGAGTCCTCACTAAAATTGACACTATGCTGTCTGGACTTTCAGCCTCCAGAACTATGAGCTAAACAATCTTTTTTTTTTTTTTCAAATAAAATTCTCAGACTCATACATTTTGCAGGAGCAATAGAACACTGACTGTTGCACTGGAGAAATCAGTATGTATAGCTGTATTTTTACAACATCATCAACAATGTAGTTCCTGCCTAACTCTAACTCATCTTCCTCTCTTCATGGTGTACATGTCAATAATGCCAAGCTCTTTGAAGTACTTTCCAAAACTTTGCTTTTTCATTCTTCCTTGTATCTTTGCTCATGCTCTTCACTCTATCTGGTAGGACCTTCCATCCTCTCCATCATCTGATTACCACTATTCATCTTACCTGACTCTCATGGTGCTGTGTGATGTCTCTATCACTGAACTTCCACTTTATTTTGAACTGATCTGCTCATTACTGTTTTTCCCCAATAGAAAATGAGCTCTTCCTTGGGGTCAAGAACTAATATTTTACTCACATCTTTCATTCCTTGCCCCTGAACAATTCCTTACACATTGTAGGCTCTCAATAAAATGTTCGGTGAGTGAATAAGAGTGAAAACTAACAGGTCAAAGTGTATCAAAAGCCTAGAAAGAAAAGATGGGGAGGTGCAGGTTATAGAAAAGAATTTTCATAAAATGGGTAAAATCTGCCTGAGCTAAACAGTCTTCTCCCAGGTGCAGGACAACAAAGGATTTTCCAGCCAAAGGACACCATACTGGCAGGGCTACAGGGGTATGAAAATAAATGGAATGCTTGGGAAATGGCCATGTGGCATCTGTGCCAGGGCACATGAGCCTCTGAAACAACTTGTGGTGGAAAAGAAGGTCAAACTGTGGCCCTGGGACCAAAAAGGGGGCAGCAGGAAACTGTCAGTGAAAGAAATTTGAATTTTAGCCTGTAGTCAACGGTACATTATTGAGACATTATAGTAGGATGGGAAATGCTAGAACAGCAAAACTTAAGTGATGTGGGAAATAATGAACTGGAAGAGAAGGTTGGAGTTAGAAGTCTATCATAAGAGTTCAGAAAAGGGATGATGAGAATCCGAACTGAGGCAGTAAGAAGAAATTTGGGAAAATAAAAAACTTAAAACTCAGCGGGGGTGGGGAAGAAAGAATAAAAATAAAATTACTCAGTTCTGTGCAGGTTAAAGCAGTAAGGGAAAGGATGAGCTATTACTCAAAATTTGGGTAAGTAGATATCAGAGGTAATTCAGAAAGGAAAGTGTATTTATTCTGGGGGAAAGAATTGGGGCGATGAAGGAGAGGGCAGGTGATGAATTTATTTGCAGGCATTTTGAGTATAATTAACTTTGCTTTCGATGCTATGATTTATATTTTGCTTTATCATTGATGCTTAGCTACACCAGCTCTTACCTTATAAAGTAGATAACTCTGAATAGTTAATAGATGTTGGTGAATGACTAAGTGTAGAGTTAGTTATCTGTTAAAATGTTAACTCTACCACTTAATATTGTAACCTCAATATGAAAGTCAATTATCCATCAGCTTTATTTGAAACATATTTCTATTGTTTAATCTATAATATTTTCCAAACATATATTCTATCCATTTCTCTAGAAGAGTCTTGGAATAGTTATTTTGGGGTTTTTCTGAAAATAAAAACATAAAACATTATCCTGCACTAAGACAATGACTTTTTTTTATCCACTGAAAGCTGCTCTCATCTTCTCCCTCTCATGCTGAGTTTACACATTTTAATTGTTTTATAATTATAGGGAACAAAAGCAGCAGCAAACCCCAGGTTGTTTTGTCATGTTGTCTTCATCCACAGACTGTAGAAATCTTGATTCTGAAAGAAAGAGAAAACAGATTCATGTCAACAGAAATATCTTAAAACCAAGGTCAAAGATCAGAGCTAAAATTCTGAAACCTCAGGAAGCCTTTGTCATATTCAAATTCTCACTTCCTTTCTCTTGCCTGGAGATATCAAAGAGGAACGATCAAGAACAAATGATATATTTTCAAAATTCAGTGTCATTGAAATTTGAATAACTTAGATAAGTATATCTGTGAGTGTAAAATCAATTTTCAGATTTTTTTTGCACCATATTTGGCACCAAGTAGGAATGAAAAGAGAAACTGATTTCATTTGGAATATTGCTGGAAATCTCACCTCCAAAATCTGCTACCACTGCATGCCCATCCTCATAGAGAAGAATGTTATGGCTAGGAAAAAAAAAAAAAAGCAGATTTTAAGTAAGTTTTACTAATTCTTAACCTGACTTGATTCCATAAGAAGAGAACATTGGTCATCATTTATTCACCCCAGAAACTAAATGTGCCCCCAAAAGCTACCCCCAATTTTCTTAGTTTTGCTAATTCAAAAGAGATATTTACAAAATGTCAGTACACTCTAACATTGAATGTATAAAGCATTCCTACTTTAGATAAGCTGTCTATACTTGTCAAAAAAAAAAAAAAACGCATTAGCTAAAGATAATTTTTGCAGCTCCTTTAGGCTAACACAACTGCGGCTATAGACAAAAAGTAAAAAAAACATGACCAGTCTTCAGAGCTGGGTCAGGAGAAACAGCTTCTTGGAGACCAAGACACAAGGATGGTTTGAGACAGGGCCTGCAGCTGACATAATAGGATTCTATGGAAAATATCTTGGACAAAACATTCTAGCTACAATCTCAGGACAGTTGAGTGTTTCAAAGGCTTGTGACATAATGCCAGCTAAACCACATTTTAAGATTTTGAGGAATAAAAGGTACAAAGGTATCAGAGTCTTCCTTCCAACCTTGAATTCACGAATATTAGGAAGAGGGTCACAATTAATCTTAAATGCTTTCACTACAGGAAAACAAGTAACTATATGTGGTGCACGGATCTATTAATTAGCTCAACTTGTAATTATTTCATAATGTATACATGTGTCACAACATCACATTGTACATTGTAAATATATATAATTTTTGTTTGTTAAGTATATCTCTATAAAGCTGGATGGGGGAAGTATCATTGTCAAGAAGTAAATCAAAGCTAGGACTGGCCAAGGAGAGGTCATTACTCCCACATATTAGTGAATTGGATTGTGTAATATCTTATGAACAACCATATGGTGATTATTTCTTATCAAATGTCTTTGATGATTATTTTACATTTGGCATGTAAATGAGTCATTTTAGTATTAGGAGATCTGTACTAAATTTCCCGCAATACAGACAGGCTACACTCTATTTATTTTGTATAAATTGCATAGTCTTCCTCTCTCCTTAATCTTTTTGCTTCATAACCAAACATGGAAAATACTAATTTTTTTCAGTCCTTGGTAAGTCAGAGATAATATTAAATAATTTATAAAATGCTTTCTGGCATTGAGCTTTATAAGAAAGTTACTTTTGAACTTATATTGTTAATGAATTTTATCTTTGGAATATAGATTGAATCTGCTTTTCAACTACTGAAAATCGAAAGGGTGTGCAAAGACACTTTGCTTGGAGTAGCACAGTGTATGAGTATTCAAGGATGTCAAAACAGTGACCCCCAAGATGCTATCTTTAAACACAAATTATACATTGGTAAGTGTAATGAGTATGAAACTGCCATCACCAAGAAATATACAGTACCAGGAGCTCTCTGGAAGTCCAAATGCAACAGTAAAATATATTTAAATGCCATTTCACTAGATTCCTTGAAGGATTTGGGAGAGTTTCAATATCATGATCCCTTGGCCTCACAAGGGATAACTGTCTTACATTTCACCTACATTAAAATACATACTGAGCATAGATTCATCAGTCATATTAAATTATACACAAATCTATTATTTTGTTGTTAATTCCAAATAGTAACCTAGAACAGCAGTCATCAAAACTTTCCATTAGCAGCATAAATTTTTCCATAAAAAAGTTTGCAAATGGAGCTGTTCTAGTTAAATATAGGGAATGGATCACTGAAACTCTGCTTAATACTGTCCCCTATCCTTTTCTAATATAGTGTCCATTTAGACCAGCCTTAAAACCATTGACTTAGAGAAGTCTCAAGTAAGTTGTACTTCTAGGGCATATTTTGCTTTTTAATTTCTTTTAAACTCCTTCCAATGTAAATAATAGGTTAGTAGATATGATGACAACAGCTAGCTAGATTTGGGGTGAGATGTTTAACAAAATTCCTTTTCTTCTATGAAAGAAATTTAATTACATTTGGTCACTGGATTAGCCATCTCATTATGATATGAGAAGCAGTGTCTCAGAGTGCAGGGAATATGTACTGATACTCAAGAATAATTTAGGGATGGTGTCTTGTTCATTGATGTGTATCTATAGCATTTTGATTACCCTGCTTCTCATATAGGAATATTCAACAAACATTTGTTGAATAGATAAACACATTAAAAGCAACTGAAAATAGACCCTATTATTTTAGACAATAATCAGAGATTGTAGGGGTAAAGACTGTATTATTGAATCATTAAGTACTTACTGAATGCCACTCATCAATATCTAAATAAATATTTAAATTTCAGAGAACAGAAATTGGAAAAGACATTAGAGCTAACCTACTTTAATTCTCTTAGTTTCTGGAGAAGGAGCCTAAAACTCAGAGAATTTAAATATATCAACACAAGCTATAAAGGTAGTGACAATGTGTATCTAGAGTCCAGTGATTATCATCTCAGATTTTGGAACAGTTCCTGACCAATAGCAGGTGACTATTATATATGCTTTCTAAATCATATCTGTGTAACCTCACCCCTCAAGCCTGGTATTTACTTCCCTCATTTTATTACACTGCTCTGAGAGATGCAAAGTAATACAAGGTACGGATTCCTTTTTTCAAGACTTCAAAATCTGCTAGTGAAAACAAAAATGAATATTTTCAAAGAAAATAGCATAGATAAGAAATGGATAAGCTTTGAAGTAGGTTTTGAAGGACAGTCAATTATTGAGTTTATACATATGTGCTGAGAACTTGTCATGTGCCAGAAAATTTCCTACACACGGGGTATAATGGTGAATAAGACAGGCAAAGACTGGGCTTGGGCTTGGGTAGCAAAGGCTGGGCTTGGGTAGTGAGGAGGTGAGGCGGGAAGAGACAAAGGAGAAAAGAATTCCAGGTTGGGAAAAGATTTTGGCAAATGGTAAGTGATGGGAAGGCATGTATATATAAGAGGAATTTTAAGAATGCGCTTGTTAAATTGGAGAATATGTGCTACAAAATATTGGGACTATATTTGAATGAAATTGGTATTGGATAATGCTTCAAAAGCAGAGGTACTGATACTCAAGAATAATTTTAGGCTCTAATTAACAAAAGATGAAGTAGAAAGGTAGAGTAAAAAATAGAAAAGATATTGAATTATGGACAGTTTAGATACAGAGCATTATTACAGAGAACCAAAACACAGTGGTCATCTTCAATATTTCTAGTCTGGGCTTCTTAACTATAAAGATATATTTAATTAGAAAGAGTTTTCTTACCAGAAAACCTGGAGACATTTATGAAAAGGAGAGCAGCTAACTTGGGAGGCTACAGAACTTGATGAAAGTCAAAGTTATGCTTGGCAAGATGGCACTCTCAAGTAACTAACTATAAAATTTATCATTTTGAAAACACACTCAAGGTGAACTCTTATGTTTAATAAACAATAGCAGATCGGAGAAAATAAGGGATACAGTAACAATTTAGGAATACTAGACACTGTAAGTTCATAGAGGTAAGTGTTGTCAAACATCAAAAAGGATGCTATGAGGATGACCTTATAGAATGAAAACACATTTGGAAGTAGTAGAATAAAGTGAAATTTCCTAATTTTACTTCAAGATAGGCTATTGAATTAGTCCTCCTCCTCTCTAACCACTCAGTTAACAATAAAACATTAATTTTTAGAACTACCTCCAATATTCTTCCTTTCATTTATTTTTTTCAGTTAGTGCTAAACCATACTTCTTTTCTCGTGTGAAGCAACTGGAGGAGGACAACAGGGGTGAAGGAACAGAATCTGCGCTAATCAGCTGTAAGGTCAGACCTCCATGGATATCACATTCAGAGTCTATCTTTGGAGTTGGAGAGGACATCCAAAGGGTCAGTGACATTGACGTCATGGTTAGAATACCCAGGGAAGGGGAGGAGCTCAGAGTTGAAGCCAACTAGGACAATAGAAGTGAAAATATTGTTAGTGATGAGTTCAAGAGTTTGTAACTGAAAAGATATTATAAACTGAAAGGTTTGTGAAGAGTGACAATTGTGGGAATGAGGGGCAATAACAGAAAGAGAGGAAGGGAGTAAATAGTGACTGGAAGGTTCTTGTAGGTAGGCACTGGGCATTTCAACATTTTTCCATTATTTATATAGTCGCTGTATAATGGATATGACAGATGGATAAGTGAGGTTCAGAGAAATTTAATCTTGAGGTCAGTATTGCAGCTGGTAAGAAGTGGAACCAGCATTAAAATTTCACTGTACAATCTACACGTTTTAGGAGAAACTGACTCCCACATCAACCGGACCTTGAGAAGGAGCTACAGTTAGCCTGAAGATTGCTACAATTAGATGCATGAACAAAAATTCCAGAAATTCTGACTGGCTGAAGGAAGGCCTATTTGCTAGTGCCAAGAACACCTCTTTTCAATGTCTGACTGTAAGGTAAGGAAGCTGATATCAGAAAGCTAAATGAAAAGAGATCTAATATATCTGTTTTGCCAAGGCACAGCAGGCAAACACTAAACTTTCTCCCTTCTAGAACCTAGCTATGTGTCATAGTCTTTATAAGGAATGTGTAGGTGAATGAAGCAGAGACACTGCCAACAGGGAACTTGAGATCTGACCTGCAACGTGGGCCAGACACACAGAGTGCCAGTGCCTAGGAGACTCATCGGGATCTGAAGAGAGAAATAAAAGAAAGGTGATGGGAATTCCGAGACTTCTTTCCCCCAAAAGACCACCTCCAAGGCTCGTTTTTTCATCTGCATTCTTTTATGTAAGATCTGGAGAGAAGCAGTCTGTGTTACTTCTGACACTACAGAGCACCTTCATGCACATGATAACATTTGGTGGAAACAGTCCTGGGTGTCAGACCCTTTTGATTTGAATCTGACAGATAAGCAAACCTGTCAGTATTTGATTGAGCTAGCACTTCAGCCTAAGTCCTACTATCTGGGGACAAGAAACCAAGGAGAAGTTAAGGGGCAAGAGATGAGAAGAAACAAGTTCCATTGAAA